TTAAAAAGATTTTATAACTTCTTTTTGTTAATAAAGTTTAATCTCTTAATTCCCATTCAGTTTCATTAAAAAGAATTTGTATTTTTGTTTTATTACTACTTTAATAACTTTTTACGGTATGACTACCACTGATGTGTAGTATAAATCATTTGTTATTACCAAAAAAACTTTAATTCCTGAGTATTACTGGAAATAAAATTTCTATTTTAAGTAAAATGTAAAGTTAATCAATAAATGCTCTCATTTTCAGTTCCAAATAAAAGTATTTTTTATTTTTCGTAATTTTTATTGTCTTTTTGATACAATTTTTTTTATTGATTTTATTAAGCAAAAAAGTTCAATACGTGTAACACTTTTTTTTGTTGGGTTTATTAGTCTTATAAGTTATATACTCCTGTTTATGGATCTATAGAGCAGTGGTATTACATAATTAAGTTTAAAAGTCATATGAAAGACAATTGAATGCAAATATTTAGTAGCTAATAGTTTGCCTTAGAATATAATGTAAGTATGTATGAGTCATATAATGGCAAATATTTCATGAATTTCATGGGTTTTCGTGTTGAAAGGCAAGGAAAACAGTCGCTTATGAATTGGTGTTGTGTTGTGTTAACTCATTATGTAATTAATGAAAATACAGGTATTTTAGCAGNTATAATGTAAGTATGTATGAGTCATATAATGGCAAATATTTCATGAATTTCATGGGTTTTCGTGTTGAAAGGCAAGGAAAACAGTCGCTTATGAATTGGTGTTGTGTTGTGTTAACTCATTATGTAATTAATGAAAATACAGGTATTTTAGCAGTAATTGAGTTTTGAGAAAACTTATGCCACCACTCATTAATGCCATTCAGTGTGCATTGAAGTGCTGGTGTAAAGTGTTTGCAAACTCCAAACTGTTTTGTTTGGAAAGAGAGAGAAAACTGTTAGAAATGTTATGAATCATGACATGGAAAGGGAGTTAAAGGGAGTTATCGACCCATTCCGCAGAGCACTGCCATCTGTCCCAAAGTGTCTCAAACACCGGTTCACATAAACCGTACAAATCGTACATAAATGACATGCGAGAGGAGTGTTGCAAACGAGAGTCACTTTTAGCGTACATTTGAGTGGAAGTGAGGGCCGAGTGGTTCACACAAAGCGATAGTAAAAGTGATCGCAATTTATGGAGAGAGGGGTCGCAGACGTCATTCATTGGCAAAGATTGCAACCATTTTTCGGTTGTCGAGTCGAGTGACTGACTGTCCATTCAATTGAATACTGTTTTCAATTCAAGTGATTATTATTGTAGTATTGGCTGTGAATGCGATTGCATTGCAAACAGCGATTCATACGATATTTTCATCTCATTTTGCTGTCAATACATATTACATACAAACAGTTTGTGTGAATTCAATGTGATTTATATATTGATGTGAATATTAAGTCCACAACCGATACCCGATTGCATGAAAACATGAAAATGGTTTTAACCCAAAGACAGCGCGAAGAGCTGTAAGTCTTGAGCCGATTATCCATTCATTTCGTAGCCATTCATACGACACATATTTGTTTGTATTACACACTCATTGAGACTTAATTGTAGTTAAACTGTGTTTCTCTCCTATATATGCATTCATATGATTATTATAAATGTGTTTAAATGTGTGAATAATTTTGAAGCAAATGTTTATCGATAGATAAGTAGTGTTTTAAATGCGATAAACATTTGGCAAATAGTATTGTTTTCGTATTCAATTACAGTCTAAATGTGTGTTTGTTTTGTTGGCATTGATTTATGACATGTTTATGATTAGAGATATTTGTTGCCCTAAAGTGTGGTTATAGTAATGAATATTCAATTAATTGGTTGTCATTTGAATCCCAATGCATAGGAATAACGCGATCGCAGACTATCTCTATTCAAGCGGTTTCTCCGATGCTTTCGATGCCTTCAAACGAGAGGCAAAACTGGTTAATAATGTTTTCATACTTTCATTGCTTTTATTGATTACTGTTTAAGCCATGAGTGACTCATGTGTTGTATTGATTGATGGATAGCCCACTGATATCGACAAATCACAGTCAGGAATGCTGGAGAAGAAGTGGACATCAGTTATACGGTTAGTGAAGAAGATCACAGAATTGGAGGAAAAGCTGAAGGATGTGGAGAAGGAGTACATATCGGGCGCTCCCATGCGGGACAAGCGATCGCCCACCGAATGGATACCCAGACCTCCCGAGAGATTTGATCTTCAGGGTCACAGGAATGCTATCACTAAAGTGGTGTTTCACCCGTTTATCACGTGCTTCGCGTCTGCCTCAGAGGACAGTTCGATAAAGATTTGGGATTACGAGACCGGAGACTATGAACACACGCTTAAGTCACACATAGACGCAGTCCAAGACATAGCCTTCAACTCCAACGGCAAACTACTCGCCTCCTGTTCCGCAGACATGACTATTAAGATATGGGACTTCCAGTCAGTCCAGCCCGTCTGCATTAAGACCCTTCACGGACACGACCACAACGTCTCGTCCGTCACGTTTCATCCGGCGGGCGATCACTTGATCTCCTGTTCGCGGGATAAGACGGTTAAGATGTGGGAAGTGATGACCGGTTACTGTATTAAGACATATACCGGACACCGGGATTGGGTGCGAATGGTTCGCGTCCACAAAGACGGCGCCCTAATGGCCACCTGTTCTAAAGATCATGTAATGAGATATTCATATGACTTTACCATCGCTTAGCAAATGACATATTTTTTGTCCTAATATTGCAGACAATAATCATTTGGACGCTCAGTAATAACGAGCACATTGTGTCCAACGGAGACATTAAGGCGACGCTCAAAGATCACGACCACTGCGTTGAGTGCATCGCTTGGGCGCCCGACTCGGCCTCCAATTCCTTAAACGAAGCGATAGAAGACGTATGTATTGATTGGTTGCGAAGAAGTTCTTATGTCTCATATTTGAATGCATTTGTGTTTAGCGTAATAATCAACGAAATAATAAGCTTTTCGGTCCATTCCTGGCCAGTGGTTCGCGCGATAAGACTATTAAAGTATGGGACGTGAGTGTAGGCGTGTGTCTGTTTACACTGATAGGACACGACAATTGGGTGCGGGGTCTGTGTTGGCATCCCGGCGGCAAATTCATAGTCAGCTGTTCCGATGACCGCACGATCAGAGTTTGGGATATTTTGAATAAAAGGCTGAACAAGACATTAGAGAGCGCCCACACCCACTTCTGTACCTCATTAGGTATGTGCACTGTTTTTGTTGCATTTGTGGCGCCAATTGACGCGAACCTTGCATTTGTTGACAGACTTTCATCCGACCTCTCCGTACGTAGTGAGCGGTTCGTGCGATAATCACATCAAAGTATGGGAATGTCGTTGAGATTTGTTGTGTAATTTATTTTTAGCAAATGCTTTAGTTTTTAAATCAATTGATTTCTACCCATAAAAAACTCATCACTATTTTGTTCGAAACGAATCCTATTTTATCGATTTGTTTGGCTTAAGAAATGTTTATTTTTTCAAACAATTATTTTCAGCGATTTGACGTTCATTTTAAATTTATATATAAATTAAATAAAAGGGAAAATCTGATGAATTGATTTTAAGATTTAGATCTCAGGCTTCACATGAAATGCAAATTCGCGGAGAATTTGTTTGTTTGCATCGATTTAATGAACAACTATTCAAACGATTTTTCTGTACATAACTCTTGAGACCTAATAATATGTACCATAAGTTATAAATGTATATATTTATGAATACATAACTATATTATATAATATGATAATAAACAGAGACCTAAATAAAGACATGTATTCTTGTGCTTAAAAAGGCATTCATTTTTTGTTGATCCGCTCTTTAGTTTTATTATTTGTATTTAAAGTAACAAATTATCCTTAAATTAATCCGTTGTTTGTATTTGTTTTCGCATAGAATTTGACAAAATTTCTTCCGTTTTAAATGAAAAATAAAAGAATTTTACATTAACTTACTTTTTCTTGCTTTTTATTTTTATTACATTTCCCCGAAAAGACATTTACTGTAAAAACAATATTAAGAATAATTGTGTTATCGATCCGAAAGAATAATTATGACATCGTTTAGTTAAATATATATTTCTATCATAATTTATATTATGTTTATGTCTATGGTTTGCATTCATTAAGCGCTTTAAAAGTATGCCTTTCTATTCAAAATAAACATATTTTAAGGCTAAATTGCATTACCGGTCACTCGGAGCTAAAATACGTTTCATATAAAGTGATTAGACGTGAGTCTAATTGATTAGTTTGAGACACGTTTGCAATTAAGAGTAATTTATGTTGAAATGTCATCTGAGAGACAGTGGAAGCGATTTGTCGATCACTTTCTTGCGATTTCTATGACAACACTATTGATTGAAAAGCATTTAGAAAATAATAAATGAATTATTGTGTGTTAAGAGATGCCAAACATAGAAACAGTGATATAATCAGTGGAAACGTGACACTGACCTCATTTGTGTGCCATAGCCTCGCAAGTGATTAGATAAGACCACCACTAATACACTCATTGATTACACGGCACTACAAATGGAAAGCGCGTCCAATGTATTGAATTCGTATCCTCTGCCGCACCAACAGTTCAGTTCGCGGATCGCTTTCGCCAACGACTCCAAAGCCGACAACGCTATCAATAAATTGAGATTCAAGTCGTTGGCGAACAAGAAAATCACGTCAAGACTTCCACCCATTGCCAGATATGACAGTCCATACGTTCACAACCAGTTCGCGAGTCAAAGCTTCAGTCAAAGTGTGGATAGCATTGACAGCTGCGATGCCAGCGATAAGAATCTCAATACTAATGGCTTGGATCCCATTCTGCGGATCAAACAACTGGAGGGGAATCTGAAGTTTGTGAAAGAGGACTGTCAGCACATTCTTGAGTCGCTCCACAAAGAGTTGCAAGAGTTGAAGGTTCAGAACAGAGGTATTTGTATTGCAATCTAAATATCAGCACAATTTTTAAGCAAATAATGGGTTCAATGTTTGAAATACTGATTAGACTTGCAGTTTGAGCTCATTATGAAAGGCTCGGTCTCACCACAAATGCCTCAATCAGTGTCCAAAGAAGACATCATTTTAATGCCTTTTATTAGAGGTAACTGAAATTCAAATGATTTAATTCGTTTCATTCAAGTGTTGTCTAAACTGCAGGTTCTTTGAAACCCGATGTGAGGAAACACATCAAGAGTTTGGAGAACGAAGTGAAACGATTGAGATATGCTTTGGGAGAGACACTCAAAATGAATGCAATGCTTAAAAGTCAATTACAGGATCTGAATACCAGTGCACATGAAAGACAAACTGAGAAAGAGTTTACTAGCAATTGGTTGCCGTCGCCGACGGTCTCCGAGTTTCACAAAACGTTTGCTGAGATTTACAGCACAGAGGATAGCCATTTGAATCAAAACGAGAGCACAATTAGTTTACCGCGAATTATAAGCAATCGTTTCAAATGAGTTTTATTTGTATTCAAAAATTAAACAATTATTTTATGACTTTAATGTCTTTTTACAAAGTCTGGCGACCAGTGCCGACAACTGTAGCAATGAGTTGACTCCCTGTGCGATCCGCATGTGTGTGATTCCGATCTCTTTGATGTACTCGAGTTTCACATATTCAGGCAATGAGTAGTTTTTGGTGACCCGGAACACATTGGCGATGATGTCTTCGGGAGAATAACCCAATTTGTATAACTTCTGCATTATTTTGAGCGCTTCCTCCAAATTGTTGTCCAAACAGTTCTTCAGCATATCTTTGATGAAGAGAGGGTGCGGTTCATCGCATACTTTGAATACATTATCACTGCTGATGAGTCCGAAGCCGTCAGCCGTGGACTGGAGGTTATTGATAGCCTGACGCATATCTCCCTGCGCTGTGAACACCAGCGCCTCAATGCCCTCGTCGTTGAACTCGAGCTTCTCTTTGCGGCAAATCTGTCGCAACTTATCGTCGATTTGGTTGTCATTGAGTTTCGTGAACCTAATGACAGCACATCTCGACTGAATCGGTTCAATGATCTTCTCAGACGTATTGCAGGCCAACGCGAATCGCGTCGACTTCGAGTACAACTCCATTGTCCGGCGGAGTGCCTGTTGTGCCGCATCTGTCATACTGTCCGCTTCGTCCAGAATTATGATCTTATGTTTACCCAAACCTAACGTCACTTTCGTCTGAGCGAACATTTTTATCTTATTCCTCACGACATCAATGCCCCTCTCGTTGGACGCGTTCAGCTCCAGAACCGCCTCTTTATAGTGCGGACCCAACAGATTGCGGGCCAGACATAGGATGGTCTGCAGGAAACAGATCCCAATGAAAACGAGTGGTTAATACAGTGGACACCGACTATGCCGTCGATGGCAGACACGTGTTGGCACTTACGGTAGTCTTGCCGACGCCGGGAGGGCCCGACAGTATGAAATTGGGTATATTTCCCTTCTCCGAGAATATCTGGAACCGATTGATCACCTCTTTGTTGCCAATGATGTCCGAGAAGTCAATCGGACGATACTTTTCGAGCCTTTAATTCAAATGTCAAATGAGTTGTCAATGCAATCACAGGTATGGCAGGGAATGGATGTTCATTACCAGGGAGTGGGCAGTGAAGAGCTGTTGTCTACCGTCGCCTTCTTGTGACTGTCGTCCACATCCATGTCCTCAGCCATTGACCACAGGATTCACTGATTATGTGATCATAAAGTGTAACAAAAACTGGATTTTAAAACTCAAACGACAAACAAAACAAATCGTAAACACATTTAGCGCTCAAAATAATTGCACCAAAAATGATGTCAACTAATAGTGAGTCCATTGAGCGCTCATTCATACGAATATCAATACTATTTGAATGAGGGTTTGGTTTGTGAGCAAAAGTCATCATTTATGGGACAATGGGTTTGTCATTGAAGTACAGTTTCGCTCACATATGACATGACAGGGAGTCGTGCGCTGAAGGCAACCCCAATACGAGCGATGCAATGCTGAGTAGTACTCGAGCCCTGCCCTCCCCCATGAAAAATGTGAACGTATTAGAGGTGTAGCCCACAGTCGGAGTGTTTTAATGAATGAAAGCGTAAACCCATTGATACGTCTATATTAACAATAGTAGTGTTGGTTGTTGTGAATGAAAGCAGAGATTAATTGATTCATTGATATGTTTTTGTTGTGAGTGTTTGAGTGAATGTTATGAATGAATCGCTGAGGAAACTACACTTTTCGTGACATTCATCTCAATCAGTGTTTATCTTATGATTAGTTATCACACAAATGGTCTCAATATAGGAGTGAATTGAATGTGATTTAAGTTTTCGAGTAAATACATACGAATTGTATTTCGGGATCCGATATATAGTGTATGCGTTATATAGAGATCACGAATCGATCGATCGTAGGGTTGGCGCTGGGCTACCAGTGCTGTCACTCTTATTAATGGTAGTGGTGTTGGGATCAGACTATTATCGATCCGTTTGAGTGCCATTTCATAAGCATTTGTATGACTATTGCTATGATATAAGCATTACTTGAGTACCGCTTCGTTGCAAACATCCATTCATTGAATCCATTTGTCCACAAATTAGTGGTTATATGATATTGTTGTGGACAACACATCCAACAGGTGACCATCAAATATGATGAGACAACTGAACACATAGTCAAACCCATTGGACCCACACATCGATGGCCACTCAAAAGCCCGTCGAATGGGTTTCTTCGCTCATCACTCGCTTCGAGGAACAGGTAATCACTGATTGCTTCCACTCCAAGACATTTCAGTTGATTAATAAGTTTTTATTAGTTAATTGGGTTTCAGTTTTGTATTATTCATATATTTATTGAATATGTTTGTGTAGAATATAGCCTATAATTAGACTCTATATGAAGTATAACTCATGTGTGATGTATGTATGTCTTGTGGCACCTGTAGCTGCCGTGTCGGTCGGGCCCACAGACCAGTCACTCGCGGATAAATGTGGAGCAGAACAAGGAATCCCTGATTACTATAAGTAAATACAAGTTCTCGTTAGTCATATCCGGTTTGACTAAAATCTTGCATTCAGTCAATGATATGGTGAGTGCTTTTGATTCATATGATTGATTCACTGCTTTGCATGTGTTATACAATACTATAACCAATGATGTAATGTCTGTCTGTCTGTCTGGATGTGCCCCTAAAGAGAGCCCAAACTCACGGACAAATTCAGCCGGAATTTGAGCGAAACTTTTACGAATCACAGCTAATTGTTTTGGACACTCTTGAGAAGTGTCTGTCCTCTCAGCCTAAAGAGACCACACGTTTCGATGAGGCCATGAATGTGAAGGCACTCCTCCGAGAGTTATGTCAGGTATTGACCACTTGTTGTGACACATGATTCCAGACCATATTAATTAAGACAATAATCTATTGAATAGTTTATTGATATTCCGAATGAGAATCCAATGGCAGCTCAGCTTAAAATTCTCGCTTCAAAAGTGTTGTTTGCTTTAAGTCTTAATAATTTCAATGCAGTCTTCAGTCGTATATCTGCGAGGTTTGAGACAATCGTTACTTAATTATGTGTTAAATATTTGCTAAACAAATGATCATTAATTTCTAGACTCCAAGAGCTGTCTAACAATAACGAAGAGAACCCGGACTTCATAGACATAGAACTCATACAACATATTAATGTAGACGTCGGACGACTCATCAAACTGTTCAGTGAAGTAAATCTCAAGTTCCGAAGTCTTCGCAAAAGCGCTCACATGGTTCTCATGACGAGTCTCGAGAAAGCCATCTGGAACTGGATGGACACATATCCACAAGAATTCATGGAATTGCAGCGAAAGCCCAACGAAGAGTTGGCCGAATGCTGTGACCGACTCTTTGAATTGTTGGACAATTTCGCAGAAAATAACAATAAGAGAAGAGCCACTGTATGGCCGCTGCAGATCATGCTTCTGGTGTTGTGTCCCAAGATTCTGGAGGAGATAGTGAACGCGGACTCGGGTGCGCCCTGTTCTCCAAAACACACCCGAAAGCGACAGTTCATCGACAACGTGAAGAAGGCATTAGTGCCGCACAGTTCCAGCAAACAGTTGACTGAAGCGGCGGCCGTCACGTGCGTTAAGCTCTGCAAAGCGTCCACTTATATCAATATATTGGACTCCAATAACGTGGTGTTCGCTTTGGTCCAGTCGGTCATCAATGATCTGAAAATGTTGTTATTTAACTCAAAGCCATTCATCAGAAGTCAGTCCAATATCAACCAAGACGTGGACCTAATGATCGATTGTTTTGTGTCCGTCTTCAGAATTACGCCCCATAATAATGAAGCCCTCAAAGTATACATTTGTTTCACTGGTTGTGTTGTGACTCTTTGATTAATATATCAATTCGTGTCACTTTAGGTGTGTCTTAACCCCAACTCCCCGTCTATGTATCACTTCGTACTCGTCTGTTCGTTATACCGGATCGTCACTCAACCCCGGCTTGTCTGGTGGCCACTCATTGATATCGTATATAGTAAGGCACCAGAGCTGAGGATTATGTTTACCGATACGTTAACTAAAGTAACGCAGGGATGTATAACCCATACACCTCTCAGAATGATTCAGGTATTGTACAGACAGTTGTTTAGTTAGACATCAATTCTATTAACACTTATCTGAAATTTGCTCTTTTCTTGCATTCATTTCTCACTTTTCAAACCAATCCATAGCTCTGTCAGGTCTGTAACTCATTTAACTCTTTCTTTTTAATTCTTATTTATTAATAAACTATAGTTTTATATACAATACACTTATAACTTAATTGTATTTAATTTGTTACACAATTTATATTTATATTATATGTTTTAACGTTGTGCTGAATACAGAGCTTTACACTGAAAGACAAAGTCTCGACTCTGAAGTTCAAAGAGAAGACAACAGAAGAAGGACTCAGTTATAAGAATTTACTCCTTTGGATGGTTCGCCTCATTCACGCCAACCCAATGCTAATGCTTAATAATCAGGGAAAGGCGGGCCATGAGATTCAGAGCAGTACACTGGAGCTCATCAATGGCTTGGTATCACTCGTTCATCAGCCATCGATGCCAGACGTGGCGCAGGAGGCTATGGAAGCCCTTCTTGTTCTCCATTTACCCGACAATATCGAGATGTGGAACCCGGAGGCGCCCATCAACACCTTCTGGGACGTGTCATCGCAGGTGTTGTTCTCCATATCACAGAAACTGATTCAACACCAGATCGTCAACTATACAGAGATACTGAAGTGGTTGCGAGAAGTGCTTAAGTTTCGAAACGCATTCCTCCAGAGACACAAAGAGTACGCAAACCTCGGCTCTCATATCGCGATCTGCAAACAGGCGCACATCAAACTCGAAGTCGTATTCTTCATGTACTTGTGGTCCATAGATATCGACGCCGTTTTAGTGGCCATGTCTTGCTTCGCGTTGCTCTGCGAAGAGGCAGACATCCGGTGCGGTCAGGACGACCTCACGGCCACCTATTTGTTGCCCAACTATCACGTATACCAAGAGTTGGCGCTTTCCAGCAATATTCTGACCACAGGTCGGGCCGCTCTTCAGAAGAGAATAATGGGTTTGTTGCGGAAGATTGAGTACTGCACTCAGGGATGTTCGCAGGCCTGGGAGGACACGTTCATGAACTGGGACGCCGGCACCAAACTGTTGGTCAGCTATCCAAAGGCCAAACTGGATGTCGTCGAGGGACAGATCGATGGCTTCCATCGCACGGTCAGCAAAAGGCGTGCTTCTCATCAGAGCACTGACCACGAACTCGAAGACCAAATCAACGAATGGGCGAATATGACGGGATTCCTGTGCGCGTTGGGAGGCGTGTGTCTACAGAGGAAGTCCCCATCAGCCAAGTCCAATATGGCCGTCTCACTGCTGCTCGACTCCAGCCGTAAGGGCTCGATGTTGAGTGCGGCTCAGGACTCCCTGCAGTACTGTCCGGTCACACAATTCGTGGGTCAAGTCCTCAAACTACTCGTCTGTCACAACGAGAAGTTCGGAACACAGATACAAAAACACGTGAAAGAGTTGGTCGCCCACGAGATCAGTCCCACACTGTATCCCATACTCTTCGATCAAATCAAGATTCTGGTCGAGAAGTTCTTCGACTCGATCTCAGGTCAAGTAATCCTGACGGAGACGAGCACTCAGTTCATTGAACACATCATTTTCATAATGAAGAGCGTGTTTGAGAACAAAGTGGAGCACACGAACGAACACCTCGGACTCACTTCCATCGAGATCATGATGTTGGCCATCGTTCGCTATGTCCGACACTTGGACTCCAATAATGTTCACTACATTCACATCAAGACTAAAGTATGTCAATTGGTTGAGGCAATGATGGCCAGAAGGGACGACCTGTCATTCAGACAGGAGATGAAGTTCAGGAACAAATTAGTCGAATACCTGACTGATTGGGTTATGGGAAACTCGCATCAGATGCAACCGCCCGGCTCTACAGACTTGACCCCTTTGTTGCGCGATTTGGATCAGTCTTGTATGCAAGCCGTCGCAGCTCTGCTCCGGAGTCTTCCCCTTCAACCTGAAGAGAGCGATAGGGGAGACCTAATGGAAGCCAAATCTCAACTCTTTCTCAAATACTTCTCTCTATTTATGAATCTTCTGAACGAATGCAGTGAAGCCCTTCCCACCGAAGAGCAAGTGGTGGCCAACGCTAATGATGTCAACTCGCGATACGCGCGGATACAGGCGTCCAAACTGAGTGAACTGCGGACCTGTACTGTTCAGGCCATGTCTAACCTGTTGAGCGCTAATATAGACTCCGGTCTAATGCACTCAATAGGGTTGGGATATCATAAGGATCTTCAAACGCGAGCCGCGTTTATGGAGGTGTTGACCAAAATCCTACAACAGGGCACTGAATTCGATATGTTGGCCGAAACTGTTTTGGCCGACCGTTACGAGCAATTGGTCCAATTGGTGACAATGATTGGAGACAAAGGCGAACTGCCCATCGCTATGGCTTTGGCCACAGTTGTCATGACTCCCCAAATGGATGAATTGGCTCGAGTTTTCGTCACTCTTTTTGATGCCAAACATCTCTTATCTCCTCTCTTGTGGAATATGTTTTACAAAGAAGTGGAAGTTTCCGATTGCATGACAACTCTATTCCGTGGCAACAGTTTGGGCTCAAAGATAATGGCGTTTTGCTTCAAAATCTACGGCACCTCCTATTTGAAAGCACTTCTGGAGCCGCTAATCAAGCCATTAGTGATTGAACAACCGGCCAGTAATCTTAGTTACGAAGTGGATTCGGCGCGTCTCGAGGAGGGAGAGGACGTGGAGGCTAATCGTCGCAATCTATTGGTTCTGACGCAACGAGTCTTCAATGCCATCATATTGTCTTCGGACAGCTTTCCCTCTCAGTTGCGATCGATGTGTCACTGTTTATATCAAGTCCTCAACAAACGATTCCCTAACTTTCCCCATAATATCAGTGCCGTCGGGACTGTTATATTCTTGCGGTTCATAAACCCAGCCATTGTCTCGCCCTATGAGATGGGAATTGTGGACAAACAGCCCATTTCTAAGATCAAGAGAGGGCTTATGCTTATGTCGAAAATACTGCAAAACATTGCAAATCACGTGGAGTTCAGTAAAGAGCAACATATGTTGCCATTCAATGACTTCTTGAGGTCCAACTTCGAGGCGGGTCGCCGTTGGGTCGTACAGATCACCAGCGATTGCGAGACAGTCGACCATCTGGCCAGCCATAACCTATCGTTCATCAGCGACGCCAACGTTCACGCATTGCATCGACTCCTGTGGAACCATCAGGAAAAGATCGGTGACTACCTGTCCAGCTCTCGAGACCACAAAGCTGTGGGTAGGCGTCCCTTCGACAAAATGGCAACACTTCTCGCATATTTAGGTCCTCCCGAACACAAGACTATTAGCGACAGTCAATGGAATTCAATGGATATGACGTCCACTAAGTTCGAGGAAATCATGTCTAAGCATAATATGCACGAAAAGGATGAATTCAAGTCCATTAAGTCACTCAACATCTTCTATATGGCGGGCACCTCGAGGGCCGGCAATCCTGTCTTCTATTATATCGGCCGCCGGTATAAAATTGGCGAAACAAACGGCGATTTACTTATATATCACGTCATCTTAACATTGAAACCATTTTGTCACAAACCATTTGAAGTGGTCATTGATTTTACTCATACCGGCGCTGATAACAGATTTAGAGTAAGCCATTGCATAGACACTAGAAATGTGAAAGTTTTATTGACACCACTTTTGTTTGTGTTTATTATTATAGACGGAATTCCTACAGAAATGGTTTGTAGTATTGCCTGAAATAGCATACGAGAAGATTGTGGCCACTTATATATATAACTGCAACTCATGGGTCAGGGAGTACTCCAAATATCACGACAGACTTCTCATACCATTGAGAGGCAACCGAAAGCTTATATTCATAGACACACCTCAAAGACTCAGCGATTATATAGATATCGATCAGCAACGCCTTCCCGGCGCCACTCTATCTCTCGAAGAGGACCTCAAAGTGTTTAATAACGCACTCAAACTGTCCCATAAGGACACAAAAGTGGCCATAAAAGTAGGTCCGAGTGCTATACAGATCACGTCGGCTGAGAAGACCAAAGTGTTGAGTCATTCGGTGCTCTTAAACGACGTCTACTACGCGTCCGAAATAGAAGAGGTATGTCTTGTGGACGACAATCAGTTCACACTAACCATTTCCAACGAGAGCGGACCCCTTTCCTTCATCCACAACGACTGCGACTCAATAGTTCAGGCGATTATCCACATCAGGACGCGTTGGGAGTTATCACAGCCCGACTCAGTGACGGTGCACACGAAGATCCGCCCGAAGGACGTGCCGGGGACTCTGCTCAACATGGCTCTCCTCAACCTGGGCAGCGCCGACCCCAACCTCAGGACCGCCGCATACAACCTGTTGTGCGCTCTGACCGGCACTTTTGATCTCAAAATCGAGGGCCAACTCCTGGAAACGGCCGGTCTATGTATTCCCTCGAATAACACCATTTTTATCAAACAAATCAGCGAAAAGTTGGCGATTAATGCCTCGCACCTGACCCTCGAGTTTCTGGAGGAATGCATTCAAGGCTTTAGGGCTTCGAATATAGAACTCAAACACTTGTGTCTCGAATACATGACTCCATGGCTGCCAAACTTGACTCGATTTTGTAAGCATTCCGACGATAATAAGAGACAAAGAGTGGCCACTATTCTCGACAAATTGATTACATTAACCATCGAAGAGGTGGAGATGTATCCATCGATTCAGGCAAAGATCTGGGGAAACATCGGACAGGTATCTGATTTGTTGGACCTAACTCTCGACAGTTTTATCAAACGATCGGTTACTGGAGGTCTTGGCAGCTCTCAGGCAGAGATCATGGCTGATACGGCCGGTAAGACATTCACTCATTTGTTGGGTTTTTAAGAATAAATTAAAACTTGAAATGTATTTCCATTTCCAGTGGCTCTGGCGTCAGCTAACGTTCAATTGGTTGCTATGAAAGTGATTAGTAGACTGTGTCGGGTGATCGAGAAGACCTGTACGTCTCCCACATCAACCCTTGAACAGCACCTAATGTGGGACGACATCGCAATCCTCGGCCGCTATCTGCTAATGTTGTCGTTTAACAATTGTCTTGATGTGGCCAACCATTTGCCATATCTGTTTCATATCGTAACACTACTCGTCCACACGGGACCCGTGTCTCTGAGAGCTTCAATTCACGGGCTGGTCATCAATATAATCCATTCCCTGTGCACCTGCACTAAGCCATCATTCAGTGGCGAAACACAGAGATTATTGAGATTAAGTTTGGATGAGTTCTCTTTACCCAAGTTTTATCTGCTGTTTGGCATCAGTAAAGTCAAGTCCGCGGCCGTCACTGCCTTCCGATCGACCGCTACCGGCAGTCACGGCCGCCACTTCTGCATCGATCGGCACCATTACCTGCCTCAGGACCGGTCGTTCAATCAGTCCATTGGCGAACATCAGGAACGCATGCCATTGGCCTCACTAGAGGTGATCACTGACGCCCTGTTGGAGATAATGGAGGCCTGTATGAAGAACATCCCGAACTGTGATTGGCTCCAGCAGTGGATCGAATTGTCCAAATCATTTGCATTCCGCTATAACCCGGCTCTTCAGCCCCGGGCTATCATTGTGTTCGGCTGTATATCGAAGACAACTATGGATCAGGAGGTGAAACAATTGTTACGAATTCTGGTCAAAGCGCTCGAGTCCTTCCAAGACTTGCAGCTCATTGAAGCCATAATCATGGGGTTGACTCGTTTGCAGCCACTGTTGGCGCCCGAGTCAGCCATACATCGGGCCCTCTTCTGGGTCGCCATATCTGTGCTCCAATTGGACGAAATGTCTTTATATGCGTCCGGTTTAGCACTTCTCGAGCAAAATCTTCATACACTCGACTCAATGAGTATTTTCGAAACAAATACATTGAAACACATAATGATGTCAACCAGAGAGCCACTGGAGTGGCATTTTAAGCAATTGGACCATTCGGTAGGTCTGAGCTTCAAATCCAACTTTCACTGCGCACTCGTCGGTCACCTCATCAAAGGCTTCCGACACCCGACGCCCACAACGATGTCACGAACGGCCAGAATCCTGAATATGTTGTTAGGAATTATAGCCAAACCTCACAAACGCGACAAATTCGAGGTGACAGTGGATTCGGCGCCCTATTTGAGTGCATTGGTCTCAGTCTCTGAAGAAGTACAAAGTCGTTGTCATCTCAAGCACCGCATCACAAGACTGGTCTCAGAGTCGCCGTCGACTAAAAACTTTACGTCAGATCTTCAACAAAACGCGTCGTCGGCCAACACTACCGGCTCGTCGACGTCGCCTAAGAATCCTCCGACAACTCCCACACAACAGACCCCATCGCCAACACCCCTGCCATCGCCCTCTACCTCCATGTCCTCGTGCGTGAGTCAGTCGACACAAATCACAATAATTCAGTCGTCGTATGCCATGCATCAGTTGCATCCGCAGTCGCCCTCAACCGCGACCGTGTCCTCACACCCGACTACTCCTACAAACCGGCGTCAGAAGTCGTGGGACCAACTCGACCAGAACGCCATATCACAAGCCAAGTTGACCCGGGCGTCAAACTACCACTTCCAGCATAATATGCATCCGACGCTCACTCAACCCCATAAGGATCCGGCCAAACACTGGAAGAGTCTGGACATGGAGGCCGCCAACTCTTTTAGGCCTCTATTCCGCACTCAACGGAGCTCTTCTATGCCGACACCGAAAGTACACAAAAGCGTTGATAATTCTGTTTCGAGCGGAAGCGTCGCTGTTGTCGATAACAACAGCGCTTCCAGCAGTCGAGGCAGAGGTTCGCCCGAAGACAGCACTATCGCCGCCGACGATATCGACGACACCGGAAGAATTCGCGATAAGAATAGAAACTCAAGAGTTTCTGTTTCTAATGAAGACAATGTTCTCTTAGATCCAGAAGTATTGACAGATTTCCCGACTCAGGCGCTGGTATTGACAATACTTGTGAGTACTCTTTGTGGTTGTGTTTAAGTTTATAAATAACTCAATACTTGTTTGCATTGAAGGCAACATTGGTTCGCAACACCACCGATGAACTTGAAATGAGAATACTTTACGAATATTTGGCCGAAGCGTCGGTAGTCTTTCCCAAAGTATTCCCTGTCATGTGAGTAGTGTTTCCATTAGCTCTGCCCTCATCATTGCCTGCATTCTCTAATATTTACAAATTATTTTTAGCCATTCATTACTGGACGCAAAGATCACAAGTGTGCTGTCCTTATGTCACGATCAGGTGATTCTTAGCGCAGTTCAGAGTATTATACAGAATATGATTGCGTGCGAAGACGCCCAACAACAGCCCCATTACCTCCAAAGTGAGTCCACACTGTTTTGACACTAATTGAATTGACAACGAATGCTAACCAATGTGTTTGTGAACCGCAATAGCCTTTGGTTTCGGGGGTTTGTGGCGATTCGCGGGTCCCTTCTCGAAGTCGTATCAGTCAAACCTGGATAACGCCGAACTGTTCGTCAATTGCTTGGAAGCGATGGTCGAGACGTGTCTGCCTGTGGACGACGGGGAGGTGCGTGAACTGGAGTACCCGTCGACTCTGTCGGTATCGTCCACAATGAATCTCTCGTCGTCGATGTCATCGCTGACGTTGGGTTCGCCCACCGATAAGGAGATGAATGCCATGAATGCCACGGAATATCATTCGACTAATTCTGTGTCGAGCGGTGCCGCCAACTGCGAGACCAAACGTAACGGTGCTTCCAATCAACACCCGTTCATCAAACAAAGGAGTTTCAAGTGTAAGGCACCCAAAAACGGTAGCAAATGATGCC